TCTGTCCCAAAAAAAAAAGAACTGTACATCCATACCTTGATGGTGAGAAAATGATATCCATAAGAACCTTTCAGTTCTTACCCAAACTACTCTCCGTCCCAACTCTACCTCTTAAATCAACTTTGTGCCCCTGTATATACAAAACAAAACCAAGCCAAACAAAGACCCAGAACCTTTCTTTCCCCTTCTAAACTATTGACCTCATGGATTTTGTTTTACAGATTGTGGAAAATGGTGTGGTAACACTTCCGGTAAACAGGGGGTTGGCAACAAAGGGAAACACTTCTCCTCAAACTCCACCAGATCATAGGCAGGTTAGAGGAAACTGCCAGTCTGTTGGTACCTGTGCAATAAGAATTTGGTATCTTGGAAGGCTCTGGATCTGGTACAAAGGAGATCCCTACTGCCAGAATAAGCACTTGCCACGTAAAACATAAGCTCTAAATCACTCTCCTGTACTATCTCTGACCCAAATTTTATACCAATTTTTTCCATTTCACTTTTCAGGTTTAAAACAAAGAAACCAGTGTCCAGTGGCAAGTGACATATGCCTTATGCTCATTCCCATCCTTAATTTCTTCATTCATAGACTTTTGCTTAGAAGACTAAAATTCCCATTCCTTTTTAAAAATAGACTCTTGCCCTTAGCCCCAATGGCCGCTGGCAAAGACTTTTATTTTCCAAGGGATATGAGAGACTCCTTCATCTTCTTGGTCATAGTTGGGATGAGGTGCATGTGGTCATCGACACACTTGGTCACACAACTGTCCAGCTGCCGCTTCACCTGAAGCTCCTTACTCCCTGCATCTATGGAATCTTTGGCTTTGTCGTTGCAATACATGGTGCAGCGGGCCAGGCGGTCCTGTGGCAAGAAGGAAGAGGGTAGAGAAGGCTGAGTCTGGCTTCCATTTACCAAGTGCTTGTCTGCTAGGCCCTGTGCTATAGGCTTGACATATATTATCTTCATCCATTATAGGGACATTCTAGTGTGATTGACCAAGATTGTTGGACAGAAACACGAGAGCCCAGATAAAACATTATTACTAGAAAGCAGGTGAGTGACAGAATAAATTGCACAGAAGACTCTTCCAGTAAGTAAGAGGTCACTAGAGGTGACTGTTAGACGTACAAACATCTTGATTCTTTAATGTCTGTTCTTACTACAGAATAATCTCAATTCAACAAATATTTATTGACCATCTACTATGTGCTTGGCACTCTTCTCTTGTTGGGGAATACAGCAATGAATAAAACACATGAAGTTCTTGCTAGAAATTACATTCCAGTGAAGGAAGAGAAACAAACAAAATAAGTAGAGATGTTGAGGAAATGGTTGGATATATGAATCTTGATTTCAGGAGTGAGGTCTGGTCTAGAGATACAAATGCAGGAGTTGTCAGCATACAGATAATATTTACAGCTGGGAACTTCTCCTCTAGTAGAGAAGTAGTTAGAAAGGAGAAAAGGACCAATGACAGCCCTGGGCTCTCCAGTGTTCAGAGGATGGAGAGGGGAAGAGCCAGCAATGGAGGGCAAGAAAGGAGGGAGATGGAAAACCAGGAAAGTGAGGTGTCCTGGTGGCCAAGTGCATATAGTGATTCAAGGAGGAGAACAATCCACTGTGTCAACCCTACAGATAGGTTGAGTAACATGAGGACTGAGAAATGACCATGGGATTTAGCCCCATGGAGGTGAGTGTCAAGAGCTGTGGAAGAGGGAAAGTCTGCTTTGAAAGGACTAAAAGAATGGAATGAGAAAGTTATACAGCAATCCAAGAGTCAAATTTTCTATAAAATTAGCTGTCAAAATGAACATACCGAAACCCTTTGGAGTTCCACGATCTTGAAGAAACTAGTCCTTCATAATGGCAGTAATTCTGAAGAATTTTGTATAGCAGAATGTAAAATTGTATCACATTAGGTATAATTTTTCCATGTGGATGGAACTTTAGGCTATGAAAGACAGGTTTGGCAGCAGGCCCTGCTTCCCCTCAAGTTCTAGAAAAATATACTTAGAGAAAGGGAATAAAACGAAGTTGTGGATACCCTGTGCTCCAGAGAGGGAAGGGTGTTCTTTTATTAATAGCAGCCTCAGAGGTGCTTGTGAGCCAGGCATTAATGAGTCAACACTAACCATGCTTCATATAAGTGATTGCTCCTTAGTGATAGAATAGCTTCCGCTTGGGTGTAGCAAGTAGAAACAGTCCTGGGTGGGTGTACAGGTCCACTAAGTGGTGGTAGGGTCTTGTTCTAATGTGTACCTTTTAAAACTATCCTATGCTACTTTCCTGAAGATTTTGCTGTTTTTAAAAAATAGATTATTGGCCGGGCGCGGTGGCTCACGCCTGTAATCCTAGCACTCTGGGAGGCCGAGGCGGGCAGATCGTTCTGAGCTCAGGAGTTCGAGACCAGCCTGAGCAAGAGCGAGACCCCGTCTCTACTAAAATTAGAAAGAAATTAATTGGACAGCTAAAAATATATGTGGAAAAAATTAGCCGGGCATGGTGGCGCGTGCCTGTGGTCCCAGCTACTTGGGAGGCTGAGACAGTAGGATTGCTTGAGCCCAGGAGTTTGAGGTTGCTGTGAGCTAGGCTGACGCCACGGCACTCGCCCCAGGCAAGAGAGTGAGACTCTGTCTCAAAAAAAATAAAAAAAATAAAAAAATAAAAAAATAAATTATGTTTTAGGAAACTTTATACTATACAATAAATATATTTGGTGGTTATGGCAAACAACAACAAAACCACAAACAGGGCTCTTGGTCATGCACTCTGCTGGTAACTCCCTTTATATCATTGTGTCTACCGGAAAATATGTGCTCTGGGAAAAACACTCCCCAAACTGTACTTTCTTCTAAACTCTACAGCAATCAACAAAAAGAGGACTTCTGTGACCAAATGTGGGGTTTCCCCCCACATACCAAGCAGCGGACACCAGGTAAGTGTCCTCTAATTCAATTCTGACACCATCTACCTGGAGATAGTATCAGATCCCACATGGTGAGGGAGCAGTCTGCAACACCCCTTCACCCCAACACATATCACAAATCCAGGCCTCTGGAGCTTCTGACTGACTGGCTTAAAGTTAGGGTTCCAATGACCCCCTCCCTGTTTGGATTTGATTTATTTGCTGGAGCGGTTCACTGAACTCAGAGAAACACTTAGTTACGTTTATCGATTTATTGTGATGGATAACAGATGAAGGATGCATAGGATGAGGTATGAGGGAGGGGGTGTGAAGCTTCCATGCCCTCCCTGTGTGCACCACCCTCTAGGAACCCCCTCATGTTCAGCTCTCTGGAAGCTCTCCAAACCCAGTCCTCCTGGGTTTTTATGGGGCTTCGTTACATGTGCATGACTGACAACCATGCAGAAATGTGAGTGGACAAAAACCAAGCAAGGCCTATCTAGCTTCAGATTCTTCCTGGCCTTTCTGTGTAGCATTCCTTCCTCCAGGGTATGGGGCAGGACCCTCTCTGGAATGAGGGTCTCTTGACCCACAAGCAGATTAGACTCCTGCATTGGGCAGGTGAAAGGAGGAGAGGAGAAGGTTAGAGAGAGAGATTCTATCTTCTGAGGCCTGCTCCTGAGGCCTAAAGCGCCCCAACATTATAACAAGGACTATGGGAGTTATGAAACTCCATAGGCACCATGGATGAAAACTAATATATATATCATAACACCACAATACGGTTCAACATACAGCACTCAACTTCCAGGATTTTTTCTAAAATTTCAAACCCTATGAAGACTGGGTGGTCACAGGACTATCACGAATGTTAACAGAAGCAAGACACTAAAGCCAAGAACAAATGTTTGTCATCTCCTGCAAAAGAGGACATCAAGGACTGCAGTGCCCTGTCTGGGATATTCCTCACCTGGAACTTCTCCAACTCGTTGGTCACCAGAGCCTGAGCTTGAGCCAGAGGTGCATGGCAGCGCTCGATGCACTGGTGCACCTGCTGCATGGACGCCTGGCTGTCCTCACAACAGCTGGCGCTGCACCGGAACATGAGGCCCTGGAGAGGGAGGGCAAAGCGAGATTAGGTAAGAAAGTCTCTGGGGACAGAGATGGCCATGGAGAGATACAGGAGTGTCACAAGACCACGTTTGTATTTGTGCCTTCCTCTCCACCTTCTGCTTTCACCTTCCCTAAGAATGGACACCAGCTCCTTAAAACCACGACTGGGGAAAACTATCCCAGATGTGTAGCAGAGTGTCCCATTCCTCCTTGCTGCTGGCTCACTGGCACTTGTTGCATTGATGGCTGGGTGGACCGGGACGGTGGGGGTGAGTCAGAGGAGAACATGCGCTGAAAACCAGGTGCCTAGACCACAGGGTTCAGAGGTCAGCAGCCTAGTAAACTGTATCCCACCAGGGGGCAACCGACCCATTAATTAACGACTCAAGCAGCACTATAAGGGAAACCCACAATCCGGTGAGGGAAGCAGGACCAACACCCACAAAAACATGTAGGGGTCAAAGCAGAACAGCAATAAACCAGCGCCGTGTGGAGCGGAGTTCGGCGCAACAGCAGCGGGCATGACCTGGCCAGCGGGGAGATCGGGAGCCTTTGCCTTTCTGGTCTTTCACCTTGGGCGCGCCTTTTCTGGGGCTCGGGCTGCTCACCTGCGGAAGGGGCCGCGCATGAGGCGAAGGTGGGGGGACGAACCCCAGGGCTTCTGTCTCCGGCCCCTGGACCTCCCCCTCCCCCGAGCTGGACTGGGCGGAAACGGCCTTGCGCGTGGCGGGGGCGCACGGCTTTCACCCAAGCGGCCCGAGCTCCCGAAGCTCCGTGAGGGCGCCGCGGCCACCCGGGGACGCCCAGACCGGGTCTGCTGAGAGGGCGGCCGCAGTGCCAGGCATTGCGCGGCGGCTGAGGGAAGGGTCCGGCTCGGCCCCCGCCCGGCTACCTGCATCTTCCGGATGTTTTCTCTCTCCAGACTCTTCACCATGGAGTCCACGGCCTCCTGCACCCGCACCTGCGGCAGCTCCGCCATGGCGACCACGCGAGCCCGCATGGAGTCCGCGCACGGACCCGCCCCCTCGCCGCCGCTCCCAGCTCGCGCCCGCCCTTCCCAACCACACGCCGCCCCCTGGTGGCCGAGAGGAGCAACCGCACGCCGGTCGGCGGCGTTCGCCTCCCGCTGGGTTGGGAGGGCCTGGGGCTGGGCTGGGTGCACCTGGCTGCCTTTCTTTCTACCCTTCCTTGCTCTCTCCCTTCAGAGTCTTAAAAAATCTTTCATGTGATTGATATGTAATTTAACAGATAGATGCCCAGATCTTGGGTGTACAGCTTGATGAGCTTTAACAATCTTTGCCCTTTCCCAGTTAGTTTCAGCCTTTTCTCCCCCATCCCCACACTCTGACTCCACTGATCCCCTTTCTGTCACTATAAACTACATTTTCGCTTTCTAGAATTTCATACAAATGTGAGCATTCAGTATGTACTCTTGTGTCTGGCTTCTTTCACTTAGCATGATGCTTGTGAGAGTAAGCCATGCTGTTCCTTTTTGTTGCTGAGTGGAATTCCATGGAATGACACCACAGTTTGTTTGCCCCTTCCCCTGCTGATGGGCATTTGGGCCTTTTCCGGTTAGTAGCTATTATGAATAAAGCAGTGATTCTGGACATCCTTGAGCAAGCCTTTTGTAGACACAGATTTTCTTTTCTTTTGGGTAAATATGTAGAAGTGGAATTGTTGAATGACAGGGCAGCTGTATGTTTATGTGTTAATTTTTAATAAAAAATAAGCCTCTAAGTCAAAGCAGGGACTACAGATATGCAATCTACAATGAAGCTTTTATATGCCAGCAACATGCCAGCTGTCTCCGAACTCCTGGGGCAGTTCTATACTGAATGTCCCACCCTGCAACCCCCAACTTGACTGTCCTATGCATTCATTTGTCAGACAGATATTGGACACCTTCTGGACATGGGGTACTGTCTAGGGGCTGGGGTACAGAGGGGAGCATCAGTGAGAGGGGAAGGGGGCAGATACAGGCAATGCTGGAAGAAATGTGGCCCAGGAAGGGAGGTGGCCCAGGCTGGCAAGAAGGAAATGAGCCATCCAGGCGCCTCAGGAATGCTTTCTTAGAGGAGGGAAGTCTTGAATTGAGTCTTTGGATTGAATTGAGATAAGCAGGTGTTTGCTTGGCACATGGGATGAAGAGAATGCCGTGCCAGGCATGGGGGGCTGCCATAAACAAAACAGAGTGTGAAAGAGCTTGAAGCTTTGGGGAAGCCAAGTGGTTATGCTGACTCTGGAGCCTGGAGTAGAAAAGAAGACTGGTGGTAGGGGGTTGGGGGACATGGAAGAAGGAATGGGGCCCCGTCATTGGAATTTAGGCATTTGCTGCCACTGGGCACTAGATGGCAGGAGAACTCTGGTTTGAGGGCAGTGGGGAGCTTGACTCAACCCAAGGTCCTCTCTAGCTCAAGTGCTGGTAACTCCCCAGAAACCAGTGTTCAGGGTCCGAGATACCCTTTCCACTTCAATGCCAACTACAGGTGGCTCCAGTCGCAGCTGGAATCAGGGTGACGCCAGCTGTTATACAATGTGCCAAGCACTGTTTCAAGTGCTTTAGCTGGGATTATCTCATTTAATTCCCACATGAAGTGGGTACTTTGCCATCCACTTTTCTCCCACTCAGGGCAGAAAACTGAGGCCTAGGGAGATGAAACCATTTGCCAGATGTTGCACATTTATAAACTGTTGGAGCTAGAATTCCAACCCTGATAGGTTGGCTCCAGACTGTAGAAAGTAGGAAATTTCTGTTGTGACTGACTTAATGTTTATACTTATGTCTCATATTCTACAGAAAGTTCTTTCTTCTATATAGCAAAATCTTTAACTCCTTACTTTTCTTCCTTATTCTTAAACTGCCAGACTGAATCTCTCCAACAACTCCTACTTTCAGGAGCCAAGTTAATCATGCTAAAATGATTAAGGTCCTTGAGTAATGCAGCCTTGTTAGTTTGTATGTACAGAATGTATGGTTCTTTAGTATTTATGAAAAATGATTCTTGACTTCTGATTAGCTGGCTTTGGAAACCAACTGAGACTGTCCTTCCTCAAGTGTTTAAAAACTCCCCAACAATCTTCAGAAAAATTCTGGCTGGAGATTTGAGGGAAATAGACTTAGACAAGGGAATGATTATCCAGTATGTAGATGATATCCGGATAGCCAGTAAGACTGAAGCTGAAGGAAGGCAGCATGCTGTAATTGTGTTAAATTTACTGGCTGACAAAGGATATAAAGCAGTTCAGAAAAAGCTCAGACCTCACTTCCCATGGTCAAATACTTGGTATTTGAATTATCTCTTGGAACTCAGAACCTAGTCCCAGATTGGAGGGAGGTGATAAATTGAATAGGAGTCCCTACATCCCACACACAGTTGGGAGGATTCTTGGGATATGGCTGGATTCTTGGGTATGGCTGGGTTTTGCCAGATTTAGATTTCTAACTTCAGGATAATAGCACAAATCCTCTAAAAACCTTTAAGAGGGGAAGAAAAAGAACCACTTACTTGGACCAGGGAATGCCACAGTGCTTTCTTGACAATTAAAAAAATTAATGACCAGCCCTGCAGTTGGCCCCCCCAGACCTATATAAGCCTTTGATTTGTTCATTCAAGAAAGACAAGGAATTGGACTCAGGGTATTGACACAAACTTTGAGGGATGATAAGCAACCTGTACCTTATTTCTCTAAGCAATTGGATATGGTAGTAAAAGGATGGCCCATTTGTCTGATAGTGGTGTCTGCTACTTATGATATTTTATAGGAAGCTGAAAAGTTTACACTTGGGCAACTGGTGACTTTTCACATCATGCAGTATGTTCTTCTGCAGCAGTATGTATTACTCCTACCAGAACAAAAGGCAGGCTTTTGGTTAAGGGTTAGTGGCCAGATTGGTAAATATCAGGCTACTTTGTTAGATAATTCTAATATAACTCTGAAGACTGTGTTCACCTTAAATCCGGCCACCTTGCTGCCTATGGACTCTTGTTACTCATTCTATGATTACAGTCAGATTATTGACCAAGTGTATTCTAGTTTCTTGGATTTGACTGAGCAGCCCCTGTAGGACCCAGATGAGGAGCTCTTTATGGATAGAAGCAGTCTTATGGAACAGGGACAATGCAAAGCTAGGTATGCCGTGGTTAGTGGCCAACAGGTAATTGAGCCACAAGCTCTACCACCTGGGATACCTGTCCCAGAAGAATAAATTAATTTCACTACCTAGACTGATTCTAAGTGTGCCCTTTTTGTGGTACATGCTCATAAAGCTATTTGGAAGAAACAAGGGTACCTTACCTTTGAAAACAAGAAAATTGCATATGGACCACAAATTCTTGTGTTATTAAAAGCTGTTTTATTGCCCAGGGAAGTAGCCATCATGCATGGCTGGAGACATGAGAGAACTGTCTATGGTAGACTTGAAGGCTAAAAGAGCAGCCTGGTAATTGTCCAACCAATTGGACTTAATCCACTTCCTCCAATTGGACAGCCAGGGAACCCCTATTTGTACAAGAGTACATCAGCAAATGTTTCCCGAAGGTCTAAGGAAATTGATAACACACTAGCTCCCAGAGGAACAGGCAAACAAGAGCAGGTACTCTTGGTGTACCCTCTGAGTATATTTTTGACTACGGGGTCAATGGAAAAAAAGTCCTTGGGCCTGTGATTGTCTAAGAAGCTGGACAATGGGAGACACTTGCTTGCTGGAAATCCTTATCACCCACTTTTTAGTCCATAACAGGTCAAAAGTTGCCCATTAAACTAGCTCCCTAAACTGCTTTCATGAATGACTAGGGGAATTTTGGATGGAAATTCCATGTGGGGGACACTGGGACATTACCTTCCAGGTAGGATCCCAGATGGGAATGGGTAGTTCCTTTGATATACTTTGCTTCATTGGTGCGGAGAGGGTGGCAACTCAACAACACATACAAAAAAGTTTCAGTTACAGGCCCAATGTTTTCGTTCTTCCTCATACCCCAACTACGTCGTTCCATTTCAGCAGGAAGCAGATAGAAGCCCTAATTCCCCAAGACTAAGGAATGAACTAAAAAGAAGGAGGAAATTGTTATGGGCTCCATGAACAAATTTCAATGACCCCTATATGTTTTTTATAATCCTCTCCCTTAACCAAACTACTTGAACTTTTGAGTTGTTTCCCAGAAATGGATTTTCTGCAAGACAAAGGAATTGAGATTCTGAAGGCCCCAGGGTAGACTTCTTCATGCCAAGACTTACCATCCCGGCTGGGCGGGCGCGGTGGCTCACGCCTGTAATCCTAGCTCTCTGGGAGGCCGAGGCAGGCGGATTGTTTGAGCTCAGGAGTTCGAAACCAGCCTGAGCA